CTGCCCCCTGGTCCCCAGCCGGGCCCCCTTCCCCTGTCCCCTCGTCCCCAGCCTTGCCCCTGTCCCCTTGTCCCCAGCCTGGTCCCCTTCCCCTGTCCCCCTGTCCCCACCCTGGTCCCCTTCCCCTGTCCCCTCGTCCCCAGCCTGGTCCCCTTCCCCTGTCCCCTTGTCCCCAGCCTTGCCCCGTTCCTCTGTCCCCCTCCGCAGGCCCCGTGCTGTTCCCCTGCAAGCCCCACGCCCTGCACCCCCTTCCTGGAGCCCGCACCCCCAGCCGGGCTCTGCAGCCTGGTCTCAGGGTGCTGCAGCCCAGACCCCCCCCTTTGCACCGCAGCCCCGTGTCCGAGCCCACCTAAAACCCCAGCGGTGGGAGGTGCTGGGGGGCGCGGGGACGGGGCGGAGGGAGCCGGACACACTGCACCCCATCTGCCCCCAAATTTGGGGAGCCTGCCTGTGCATTCGGGGTTTTCCCTGGCAGAAGTGGGGAGCACGGCATGCAGCGGGGGTTGATAGCGGCCCGAGCGGTGCGGTCACTAAATACCTCACGCCGGGGCGTCCCTGGGGCTGGGTGCTGACGGGTGGGTGCTTTGGCCCCCGCAGGGGTGCACTGCGGGAACCACATCACCTCCCACGGGCTGGCGCTCAACTGCTGCACCGACCTCACCTGGTTCGACCACATCGTTCCCTGCGGGCTGGAGGGGAAAGGCGTCACCTCGCTGAGCCGCGAGCTGGGGCGGCATGTCACCGTCGATCACGTCCTCCAGCCCTTCCTCGATTCCTTCCAGGAGGTGTTCGACTGCACCTTGGTCTTTTCGGAAGATCCCGGGGACTAGGAGAGCCGTGACGCCTCGGTTCGGTGTTTCGGCAAACCCTCGGCGCGGCCGATGAGCGGTGCGGCAGCCATCCGGGGCTTTATTGTGAGACGAGCTCTCGTGCCTTTGCCCGTAGGCCGTGCGTGAACGGCGGCACAGGGGTTCGGGCTGTCGCTTCAACATCCAAACCTCCGTCGGGGCCGCTCTCCCCAGCCCTGCAGGTCTCCGTCCCTCAGCTGAGACCTCCAAGGGTACCGCGTCCCCGTCGCTCGCAGGGGAAATGCCCAAACAGGTGCTTTTGTGTGGTTTTTCTGCCTCTCTCCTCCCAAAACTCCAAAATATGGGTGAATGCTCATGCGCCCTTTGGACAAGAGGAAGAGGGACCGGTTGGCTGAGCGTCCTGCCCTCGCCACCGTGTAAAAAGAGGCTGATTTTGTATAAAGAGTTGCTGCGAGCTTCGGCTGCTGATCCTTCACTCGTTTATTTGAGAGACTTTATGAATAACGACCTTTTTCTTGCCCTGCGCCTGGAGAAATCCTCGCATGGCAAAGATGCTCGCCGTGGTGTCGGGACAGGCGGAAAAAGCGCTGCTAAGAGGCTGTAAGCAGTGATTAAAACGCCACCGGCGCGATGCCGACGCGGTGGGAAAGCGGGAGGAGGAGGGGAAGGGGTTGGGGTGCCTGAGGAGAGGAACCACAGCTGTTCCGGACCCCATGGGATAGCATCGGATCGAGCTTCCCGGCAGGGCGATGGGGACCTGCTCCCGCTGGGTCCGTGGTGCTGGAGATGTCGCCGGGGTCTGTGCGGGCCACGTCGGCTCCTCCGAAATCGCTGCCCCAGCTGCAGCATCCATGTGGGCTCGCAGCAGCCATCCCGGGCGAGGGGACGCGGCCACCCTGGGGTCCCGATGGCACTGGGATCCGTGCCCATCAATGCAAACCTGTAGGTAGACAAATATAAACTGATTTTAATCGAAAGGTTTCTTAAGGGATAAGAAGCCAACCCGAGACGGAGCTCGCGGCTCTCCTGGTGCCTGGGCAGGAGGGGCAGCACCCGGTCTGGGCTCTCCGAAACCTTCCCCCGTTGGTGCGTGGTGTGGCCATGGCCACTTCTGAGTCACCCCCGTTGCTGGCGGACCCGAAGGCTGTGCTGGCGGCACCGATCACGGGCGGCTGGGAGCAGCCCGGCAGCCAGATGGATGCTGTGGGGTCAGGAGAAATGGAAAATGGCAAATAAAGTCCCTGCGCGCTGCTCAGAGCAGGACCTGACCCCCACCCGCAGCCCCTCACCGCTTCTTTCTGCCCCACGGGCTTTGGGGTTTCTCTGCTGCTGTGGGTGGCCCCCACCCTGCAGCCCCCAGGGGTTTTGGGTGGGCAAGGGGTGCAGCGGGGAGCAATGGGGCTGGAAGAGCCCCGGGGAGGGGGGCAATGGGGAGGAAAATCCCATTTCACAGAGGCGGCTCAGCTCCGGGAGGGGATGGCGAGCGGGGCTGAAGGTGCCCTGGGCAGGCTCAGTGCGAGGGCTCGGGGACAGCGGGGACGGACAGAGGAGGGACAGGAAAGCGTGACCGGCAGCGTGTGCCGGGAGGGAAATGCGGGGTCCGGCTCTCCCGGCCCTGTAAGGCCTCCGGTATCCGGCCGGGGTGAGGGGGCCACGGGGCTGGGGACAGGCTGGTGGCCCGCGTCGGGGCTGGGTGGCTTTGGCAGGTGGCCTTGCCCCGGGAAGGGGAGGAGGCTGGGCGGCACTCCCAGCCCGGCCGGCATCCCTCGCCGCCGCCCCAGTCCCGGCTCAGCCCGGCCG